TTATTTTGTGTTCTGTCTGACGACAGGTCCATATGAACAGGGTCCTTCCATCCTTTTCTCGGACTGGGGCCTGTTCATATACGTTCTTGGCAGATGATCCAGCAGTGGTTTGCCATTGCCTTCTTCTGTGTGTGAATGGAGTAATTGTTGGGATGCCACGGAGGAAAACTCCGTGTTGCCTAGACCACGGCCTTGCCCAACACATGTTATAAATTCGTGTATTTCATAAGCACTCGGCTCAGTTACTGGTCGCATCGATTTAAATTCTTCACGATTTTCCCCCGTTAATCCGAGGCGAATTCCAGTATAGGGTATTGAATTAGACGAAGATGCATCCAGCTTCCTGGACACGAGTACCGATTCCTTAACCTTGCAGCAGTGGCACTGTGGTCAGAGACACAGTAAGGTGTGTTACTCGTACCAGTTCTCGCAGTGACCGTCACCTCAGGAGGCTCGTTGCAGTGACCACAGCATGGCGTTTCTACTGTTGCACGCTGCGGTAAGTGACAGTACATCTCAGACTCGTTAATTCGTCTACGTAACATTTAAGAATTTCGCAAAGAAACCACACCTCCCCAATACAAAGGAAACATTATTAATGTTGTGTAAAGAAATACTATTTACTGTGAGGTTACAGCAATTAACACTCCCGATCGAATTGTATTCAACTGAAACCGCCAAAAATGTTTCAACACGGGCTGTGTTTTTGTTTTCCACCATCCTGTAAATCTGGTGGATAATTCAGCCAACAAGACTTTTTACTTAGAGCCACAGTTGTCTGTTGTGGGTACACACGCCGTTATGAGGACCTGTGACGAACGCGTATCGGAGGAATAAGTGCACGGCCTCGTTCTAAGTATCGAGCACCAAACTCCGCATAGGAAGGCCATATAAAATATTAAGAATAGTTGGACTCCCACATCGTGGGTACTGGGGTGATAACGGTTGGAGAGTGAAGGTGATCTCTGACCTCCTTGTAATGTCTATTTCACCAATGCGTGCAGCTTGCCTCTACGTTCCATATATAACTTCATGACGTGATAAATAATAGACATTGTTGTAACTATTCATGTGAAGGTGGACACCATTTTGACAAGTGACCTCCAACGTGAGATGTAATGAAACCCATATTGCTTGTCTAGTTGGTATTAATTTTTAAGTTATGTACTTTAGGTTATATGGTTTTGTAATCTTATGAGTTCTTTTATTTTGAGTGTGATGTGTTGTTTTGTTGTGTCTTATTGTTTTGTTCTGTCTCATTGTTTTGTTGTGTCTTATTATAGTACCACTGCCACCGGGTAAAAACCCATTTGCAGTCAATAATAAATAAATAAAAACAGTTCCTCGAGCGTGCGAGCCTCTATTTGAGCAACATATTATACTCTAGACAGTGGTGATGTCCTGTATATGGTTACAAAATATTTACTGAAGACTAACGCCTTCGCCTTTGGCGAAGAATCTCTGATTGAGTTTTGCGTCAAGTCTGCGTCATACTGAACTGATATGAAACAAAATTAGATTCGTCAAGCAAGTGTTAAGTGTGGAACCCCTATATCAAGTTTGAACTAAATCCATTCCGTTGTTCGGACATTCAGACCGACGGACCCGACTTCGCTGATAGTTGTACGTATAAAATCTGACAGTGCTAAGAGTTTTGAGTGTGTTACGCGTACACGTTAGGAAATTCTGGCAACTCTTAGAAAGCGACAGCCATCGAGACGTCACCCAACGCTCTGAATGTACAGACATATCTCGGAGATATTGCGGGTTCGGTTCCAGACCACCGCAATAAAGCGAGTCACACTAATTTTTTGGTTTCCCAGTGCATATAAAAGTTATGTTTACACTATACTGTAGCCTATTAAGTGTGCAATAGCATTATGTCTACAAAAACAATACGAGAACATTGCGAGAATTACCAAAATGTGACACAGAGACACGAAGTGAGCACATGCTGTTCGAAAAATGGCGCCGATAGACTTGCCCGACGCAGAGTTGCCACAAACCTTCAACTTGTAAAAAAACGCAATATCTGCGAAGCGCAATATAACGAGGTATTCCTGTATAATGAGTTATTACGTATCTTTCCGTAGGCAATGGTGATGGCACGAACTGCAACAGCTGAGACCGATTTCCGCCTGTCACGAGCCGTTCTGCCTACACACTACAGGCTGGACCTACAACCTCACTTTCAGGACGACAACTTCAGCGTGTACGGACAGGTAAGTGGTCCCAGTATCGTTGGAAATGCCGTAAGCAGAATCCAGTTCAGGCAGGGACGGGGGGTGGGGGACAACTCCGTTTGCCAGGGAAACGTATTAAAATAAGCCACGACCACTTCCTCCTCCTTACACACATACTCAACATTTATAATCGTTCAAGCCTGTCATTAAAACTAAGTGTCAGGTTTTGAACTGGATTCTGTTGGCTCATGAAGGAGTCCAGTGGCGAGTGCACGTGAATGTGAACGTGTTCTAACCGAACAATATCTAACTCAAAATAACCTAACCTAACCCAACTTCACCCAGTGAAGAGCCCTCGCCCAAACAGAAAACGTCCATAAGGCGTATACGCCTCTTCTGGGGGTCCGACCCACAAGAGGCTTCACTGTCGATGTTGGGAGCTCTGCCTCATCCAGCGAACGAGAACAATTTTGGAATGCCACATCTCATCCGAATCACTTCAGCGGATAATCTTGAATCCAGGTGAATTATGCGGACAGATCTTCAGACAATTCATTTCACTCGCATCGTGCAAAGATCACAACGTACAGCGAATACTCAGTCTTGCCAACGAAGAACCTGTCATGCTTGAGGTCCTCAGGTGTGGATCGACGTTCAGGTGAAGGAGGAGTCCAGTCAGGTCACCCTGCACAGCAGCAAACTGCAGATCCTCAAGGCCACAGTGATTCCCCTGACGAACAACGAGACCCTCGAGTCGCTGGCCTTCGCTGGCGACGGGCTGCACGACTACAGCTCCCACGCCGACCAGGGTAACAGTGTGCTGCAGGACGCCGAACGGGGTACTGTTACGATGCCGGCCCTTCTGAGGGCCGGGGGGCGCTACCGTCTGTATTTTCGGTACAAGGGCCGCCTTTCCGACACATTCACCGGATTCTACAAGGTCTCCTATAATGACAGCCACAACGAGACCAGGTGGGTCTACGGACAAGAGCTAGAAGCATACAATTTTATAACTGCCTTGATTTGTCTGGAATCTTGATTTCGTCCTCTGAGAGGGGCAGCAGCAGTTCAGAACGAAAGCATACTGACTCGACCAAGTGGTAGATGACCGGAGTCCGATTCCCGGCATGGGGAGAATTTTTGTTTTCGCAGCCATGTTAGGGACGCCTTCAGGTTCCTCCCCAACTGGTATTTAGTAACCAGACGCTCAATATCCAGCGTAAACCGGCCGGAGCGTGAAGCTGACCAATCAAATTTAGAGCGGACGTTAAGAATGCCTAAATGTATACCTCCATCCTGCCACATGTGTTCGTGGCGGATTGCTTAATTTGGAACTAGACTAACGTTCCATTGTCATGTACCCGAAGGGCAAAATAAATTTCTTCACGCAAAAGAACTTGCTTTTCTGAAATCATCGGAAATACGTATTTTTTCCTTTGAGTCCAGCAGCTAACCACTAGTCCACCGAGGGCGACACTAATCGGATACTATCGGTTACTAACTCATGAATGCAAGTTCTAATGTTACCAAGTGCCTTATTGTCACAATTGGTTCACGAGGGTAGGCGAGATAAAAATTTTCCCGTACATCCTTTTGTAAGTAACTGTCCGTGCCCAGACAGACTGATTGACACATTCTTGCGTTCATGTCACCGAAAACGCATCGTCTGTTGCAGGTGGCTGGCCTCCACGACTTTCGAGCCGAACGAAGCGCACCGGGCCTTTCCCTGTTTCGACGAGCCTGAGTTCAAGGCCCGCTACCAGGTGAACCTGGCGAATCGCCAAGATATGGTGGCCTTGTCCAACATGCCTCGACGCTCCGTGCAAAATATGTGCGTGAGTGTGCTCAGAATATTCCAAGGCACCATTCGATTCTCCTTCATTTGACCACCCTCATGATATTTGGTGAGGATTCCAAATTATGAAACTCCTTGGTGTGTATCAGGACCCATCCCTCTGCCATGTGTCCTCCTTTAGGTCCAAATATCATCCTCCGGATTCCGATTGCCTCCGGCCAATGTGTTTTTCAGTCCCGTTAAAATTGAGCTCGATTTCCTGTACACCTGATCGTAACACAGCCCGTACCAACTGTGTGCTGCAGGACTGGGGTACAGGGCTGGGTGTGGAACCGCTTCGATGAGACACCGCCTATGTCCACATACCTGGTGGCTTTCTTCGTGGGGTTCCTGGACTCACGCGGGACCCAGACGGCAAACGGAACGCCGTTCCGTGTGTGGGCGCGACCCGAGGTGATGGCACAGACACAGTACGCGCTGGAAATCGGACCGCGCATAATCGACTTCTTCAGCAGTCTCCTGGAGGTCCCTGAGCCGCTGCCCAAACACGACGTAATAGCGCTGCCGCACTTTATAGCCGGTGCACTCGAGAACTGGGGCCTCATCTCCTTTGGGTAAGTACCATGTTAGCTCCCCAACTCGCAGACATTTCAAAGTTAAATATATTTAAGCCGATATTTGCAGTAGAGTCAATGGTCCTTCGGCCTCGTATTCGGAACGGTCCGAGTTCTAAAGTCGACCCTAAAATCGGCTATTGGCCTGTGGATTAGTTTGGTCGTGTCAGACTAATACCGGGACTGTACGTTGGTACACAAGACGTGACCACTTCCTCCCGCAACAAAACGATTTCAAACTGATAGATCACCTTAACTCAGACGGTGCATGACTTCTCATCTCTCCTACTTTCCGTTCAACTTCATTTCCGCAACCATTCGTTATTATAATTTTCGTAATACGTGGTTTGAGTCTTAGTTCGTTTGACGACATTGTGTCTACCGTAAAACTTAGGTAATTTCACGTCGAATGAGAAACTGAAAGAGTTGCTGCTTATGACTGAGGACTGTGCCTATGCCAAGACTTATTTAACGACACCTTGTAAACTCCACCGGCTATAAATATGCATATATACTGTAATGATTATTGTTAAGTGATGGGTTAACAGCAATCCGACTTATTTTGATCAAATGCTTCAGCGTTTTTCTGAGACATGTTAGGAGAAAATCCACTGAAAAGCCTCTGACGAGAGAGTTTGTTCCCTTGGGCTCGCAGGGAGAGAAACTTGTTGCACGAAGCCGGTGTGTCGCCAGAGTCCAGGAGGCAGCAGGTAGCCCATATTTTGGCCCATGAGCTGGCGCACTCCTGGTTCGGGAACATGGTGACGGCGCGCTGGTGGAAGGAGATTTGGCTCAGCGAGGGTTTTGCAACCTATTTTTCCGCGCTCGGAGCAAACCACGTAAGTTTCGTATGAAATGTAAGGTTTCTGTGTCAGTTTTGGTTTTCTGGGTTGCAACGCCGTTTGGAATTGTAGATAGATATCAACGTTTGCGAGGAAAACATAACGCCTCCATCTTCAGGGCTCAAGACGACGTTAACACCCAGGAGACCAACATATTCCTACGCTCAGCGTCTGCACAAAAACTGCGGCAGTGCCAGAAGAATGACGAGCCAAGGCCGGCAGACAACATGGCTGTCTTCCTGAGACAGTTCAATCCGGTTCACATCCTGAAAACCTGTTTCCTCGACGATCATTACTGTCTGAAACCCAGCTGGTGCCAGGATAAAATTAAGAATAAAACAAAAAAAGATTCAAACGCCGGCTTGCTACCGAGCTACGACTCTTACTTTGTTTATCTTGCCTACTACGAAGTATGGAGTTTCAGTTAATAACATACGCCCTATTACCTCCGGGACCAGAGTCACCCTGAACGAGTCCTTTCAGTCGGTGTAAACAGGTCTAAATTCTTCTCGTCTCTCCTGTAATCGTAACGTCGAAATAGCCCCATGTAGCCCCGAGATAAACATTATTATCTACTTCTACTGCAGGTCGACCCCACCTGGGATACATTGTCTGTGACGTCGGTGACCGCTCTCCTGCGGGTGTTCTCGGTGGATTCCCTGCAGTCATCGCATTCTCTCACCTTCCCCATCGACCACCAGACCGAGCTGCGACAAATCTTCGATGACGTCACCTACTATAAAGGTAGGCATGTCGACATTTTAAACTTTTATTAATGGATATTTATTTTATTTATTTAGTGTTCTGTCTGACGACAGGTCCATATGAACAGGATCCTTCCATCCTTTTCTCGGACTGGGACCTGTTCATATACGTTCTTGGCAGATGATCCAGAAGTGGTTTGCCATTGCCTTCTTCTGTGTGTGAATGGAGTAATTGTTGGGATGCCACGGAGGAAAACTACGTGTTGCCTAGACCACGGCCTTGCCCAACACAAGTTATAAATTAGAACCCGAGACCCCAGGATTACAAGGCCTTAAGAAATTATGGGAATTATTTTAATCACAACCACAGCTGTCCGTTGTGAACGTAGGCGGGCCGAGGGTGATGTTGACCACTTTGCGTCATCTGTCCTCATGGTATGAGATGTTTAAATTCGTAGGACCACATTGGCCGTGCGCGCACAGGTGCGGTAGACATACAAAGCAGAATGAACTTCTGTCGGTTGAGGCAGGGGCTTTTGCCGCCACTTGAGATAAGATACCTCGTGGATGCAGGGCATCATGCAAAACAGCATTTAAAACAACGCAAGAATACTGAAAATTGGTTACTCTTACGTGTCAGAAAAGCTCCTGTATTAGTTTCTAAGTTGCTGAAGTGTCAATGGCGTGGCCATAATCGAGAGAACAAAGCACGATGAACGCGTTCACCTTGTCTTCGGCCATTCAACAACGAGGGTAATTCCCCAATCGCCCCAACCATGAAGAACTGCGTTCTTCTCTGTAGTTGGTTTAGGAAATTCACACGTGCAATAATTTCTGTTATGTGGGGGACACGAATAGTTGATTGCGGCCTCTGAAGACATTAATGACGAAAGGTCTTGACAGTGGCTGCAGCTCATTTTAGCGGGCTCAAGTTTCTCCGATACGTAATTTCATTGGTTAAAAAAAATTCACTATCCTGGATAATTACCAACAATTGGTAGCTACATACTTCGAGCACGTTGTCCACACCTGAACATCCCTCGTAGCTTCAAGATGTTACGTTACAGCAGAATACTCAAGCATGAACTGGGCTTATTGCAAACAATATCTCACAGTGGCCGAAAAATAACTTCAAGCTTCAACTTAAACACTGAAGGACGGGAAGGGAAGATTGAAAGGGCGGCAAGGAAGGGTCTGAGCATGTTTCGTGTAACTGTGAAGAAATGTTCCCTCTTAACTTCATAAACTGACCTTTTCACGACAATGTATTTTGTGAATCAAAGGAACGATAAACACCACCGATATGGGGACACGCCTTAACAAACCATCACTTCCTCCACAGCCCGAACGTAATAATTTCACACCATACAGTGCATTTCTCCCCTCCCGCCCAAGCCCGTATTTGTATTGGTTTTCCAGGATCAGAGTTGTGTTGCGGATACTGCATGCCACCGCTTAAAAACAACCAATTAAAGTGTATACAGTAGACAACAAATTCGATTATTTCACTCTAGAACCCAGGCTGACCCTTCATGTTTCAAATATTAAAATTACGGGAGAAACTCTTCTTCCTGTTGGGTAAATACAGTATTCAAATCCATTTAAAATTCAATGAGAGTACTCACCTCTTACATTATTTCAACTTCTGTTCACAGTTGCAGCGCAAGATCGAACTATCGTGTTTCTCAGCTCGTTCTTATGAATTCTTACAATATCTGAAACCTTCCTTTATTCCAAATTGTGACTCAGCATTGATGCAAGGCACTGTCCACAGTACACTCTGTCGCTACTTTCGGAGAAAATGGGCCACGTTTGAAGTCTTCTTTCTCTACTAACCAGCGCGCGTCAAAAACATTTTGAAAGAAAGCACGGAACACGTCGGTATTTCTTGCGAAATCAGTTGTTACAATCTAATAGCCACTATCTTCTGCCTTAAACGTAAATGTAGCACGTCACAACAAAATCGAATTAACTACACCGTCTTTACACAACTTCAATCTGTAAGATCAGTCATAGCCATTAGCCTTCACACCACTACAATTCACCACGGCCTCCTGTGTTCCTGTACAACAAACTTCTACCGGAAGCAGGGTTGCCAAGCCACTCAAGATCTAACTTTCTTTACTTCCGGAAGTTATGTGGTTTTCTGTGTTAGTTGAACAGCCTTGTAGTGTGTCGTACACAAATATAGAAATATGACGAGGGTATTGTCGATGTATAAAACGAACAAAATTAAAAAGTGACTGTATTAGAGTAAATTGCATCCCCCGCCAATAAAATTTGCCTACTTAGTTTAACAGCGTATCTTGCCTGATCGTAAATCGGCCGTTGGGTAGAGAACTTTCCGTAAGGTAATTTAACCTCATTTCAACATATCTCGTAAAAAATAAGCGATACTCATTGTCAGTGACTTCTACACAATTTTATATGCAAAAGTGCAGACACCTCACAGGTGGCATGTGAATTACTCTTGAAGACACGCTTTTCCTGATAGCAGCGTGTTTCACAGAAACAGTAAGAATGCAAATTTTACTCTCACACAGCTGGTGGCTGTCTTCTTGGTTGTATGATGCAACCCAAATGATAGCCATCTTTGTACTCACTGCCATGAGAACCTCAGATTCTACTCTAAAGCCCTTAGTTTTAAATACATCCTTTTAACCTCAACTGTAGATCAATAAGGGTTCTTACTGGCATTGGTAACCAAATTGATGGTATAATTTAGGTCAAAACTTACCACAAAATTTCATGGTTTTGTTAAGTCAGCCCAAACTGGAAAATATGATGTCATGTAACTGACTGGTAACAGATTAAAGCTTGTAAGTAAACACAGCCCAACTGCATTTATAGTGTAGTCACATCTTCAGGTAATCCTCTGACTATTGAGGTGAGAAAAGATTAAATTTGTTTATATTACAAAAAATGTGCACTTTTACTTACTCAGATTTGATAGCTGAACCTCCAATCCAAGTACAGTATTCAAAACAAATTGTGTGCATGGCCAGTACACAGCCAAATTAACACAAAATGATCACTGTTCACCTATTTATAGTCTTTGAGTTATACATTACAGTCATGGAAAGGCCATTGAGGTTAGTGAGCATAAATGTGATAATCTAAGAAAACATCAAAGTTAGGTTAAAGTAAAAGTATTACCTTTGGCATATGATTGAACAACTGCTTATTTAATTTTATTATAACAACATATATAATTCATATGTATAAATGCAGTTCTAACATTTTATTTTAATTTTACAAGTTTTTCTACTTCTGATCTTTAGATGCGTATAATATTAACAATACATCAGTCAAGCTATCAGGATGAGCTGAGTTATATTCTTATTTATGAGTCATTCTTAAGTTGAAGTATTATTCATTAAATATTATTTGTTAAAGCTGGAGGAAATAGCTATGTCATTCAGTGGTGTATGTACAGACATAAAGTAGGGTAACAGAAAGCACTTTACGTTTCTTCAAATGATAAAAACTAGTTACATGTAGAAATCTTCCTCTCTAAAGACAGTAAATTAACAGACATACAGACCATATTAACAATAACTTACCACCCAACCACTTCAACAACAAATAACTTTCATAACATGACAAAGATTAAACAGAAAGATCTAAATTATTAATAAATATAGAAACAATTGCACGATATGAACAACAAACACACAAAATAACCTAGAGATTATTCCAAGCACTAACCAGTTATATAATATTAAAAAGAAACAGAAGTAGCTTTTGGATCCTACGAAATTAAAAAAGAAATGTGTGCTCTGCTGAAAAAATTATGAATATTGGAGGTTACATGTTGAATTTTATTATTTGGTAGAAAATCAAGTTTTAAAGATAACAAATACTATTCTGCTTACACAGCAAACAATGTTCTCTCACTCAGTAATTTAAGCAGCACGTAGAGATTTCCAGTGACAAACTCTGGTGGTAAAATACTGAGATAATTAAATTATAAATAAAATAAAAATACAGCAACCTCGGAGAAATCAACCTTCAACAAAATATATCAGAATGTGAACATCAAAACGAAAAGGGGAACAAATTCCCACATCATATTTTATCACTACCAACGTCCATGAGCTCCTCTTCTGCACACGTTCACAAAACTAACATCTTCTCTCTCTTAACTCTTCGGAGCAATTCTGTATAAGACGTCCTTGATCTAATGGGTTACAGATTTGCGGTTATTCCAATTTGTGTGTCACAAAACATTGGTGTGACAAGATGTCATGTTCCTTGTCCTCGCATTATATTGCTTCCTGAGGGGCATCTGCATATCCACTGGAAGTCTTTCTTACAGATTCGTGTATTGAAACTTTAAGACCTGGGCTCAAACCGAATCCACATATCCTTCTTTGTGACAATAATACCTGGCAGATCAGGATCTGTGCTGGGCAGCGGTTTTCCTTGGGCACCCTTCACAGTAAAGTTCTGCAGCAGTGCTGACAGAATCAGGAAGATGAATTGGCGGGCAAATGTCTCACCAGCACACAGACGCTTACCTGGTGACAAGAAAGCACAATGCAGTTTTAGGAAGTCAAGTGTCAACATTTATAGGCCTTAACTACAATTACTCACCTGAATAATAAATTCCTCACTTTCCAACGAAACAGATGATCCACTCATCATCCTCACATCATATTTGCCCCAGATCCATTTTAATATTATCCTTGTATCCGTGCCATGCCATTTATCTCATGCACAATGTATGTCCTGACTAGTCCTTCTTTTTGCATTAATATAATTGAGAAGCTGTTTAATGAGAAATACATTTTTGTGAAGAAACAAAATGTTTTCAAAAGGATCTTGTGGGCCCGTATTCATGGAAGATTTCGATATTCAAAGATGTCTAAAAAATGCGGCTAGAGTTCTATCACATTAGGTTAATGCCCAAAATAAATTAACTCTCAGCAGGTGATTAAAGTAAACTGACGTCTGAGATGAATGAATCACCAAGGTGATAAGACACAAAATGTGATAAGTGAAATGCAAAATGTGACACAAGAGATCTGTCTGTTCACTTACATTCTCAGACTACAGCCACACATCTATCTTGTGATGTTTACCGTAAGAGAAAACATCTTTCTTCTCAGTATATCACGGTTGATAATATTTTATTTAGTGAAGTGGGTGCAACCAGTATCCTCTTTTCACACTATTCTTAGTTTAACATCTCATCATGAACGTTCTGATGGATACTAGTGTGCTGGGTATGATTTCTAAGGCCTGGTCCATTCCAACAGGCAAATTAAATCCCAAAAATTTGTAAACCACACAATCTGTCTCTTCAATTAAATTATATCTGACACGTGGGCAAGGACATATATCATTATTATTGGATCACATGTTTTGTGTGACTGATCACTTTGCTGTGTGACAGGCATAAGATGTGGAACGGTAACTCAGTCTTGGGTGCTTCACCTTTGATTCATCAGACATCATCAGGACCTAGTCAGACGTTTCTTATGTTTTGTAGCAACCCTATGGATGGACTGGCATGTGACTGATTATGTCTTCACTTTAATTCAGGAAGTAACACACAGATCAAGGCATGACTTTAAAGTAATTATCACAGTCCTGTCAATCATCAAAATTGATACTGTAATGTTACATGACATGACAGCCAAAAAGAAAAATTACGCTCTCATTTTTCAAAGATACAGTCATGAAGAGTGGTCAATGTGGTTTTATATTTTTATGCTTGATTGTATTAAGCAATATGGCGGCACACACCTGCTGAAAAAGGCAAGGAGTAGTCCTTCTTAAGCAGCTGCCCCCTTTCATCCAGAAATCTCTCGGGGCGGAATGCCTCAGGATCACCCCAAAAATCAGGATCATTATGGAAGCTCCACAGGTTCACAATCATTATTGTATCCTGCAATAAATAACTTCTAATTAATAAGTTCGCATTTGATTTAAATATGAACTTTGCTAAGATACATATATTAACTGACCTTGGGGATGTTGTAGCCACCAAGCTCTGTGTCCTCCGTGGCTCTATGCAGCAACGATAGTGGAACTAATGTCTCCTTACGCATCACCTCTCGTAGGAAGGCTTCATTATATGGTAACCTGTGCATTAAGCTTGATATTAAATTGCATTTGGTGCTATAACACAGTCACTCAAATCTACGTAAACCATGCAATGGGTATGTATTGCAGTATGTGATAGTCTCAGTATGTAAACTATGGATGAGAAAACAGGGCTGATAGTAAAATATTACGCGCGCACACAGACGTGTGCATGCAGACAAACATACATACATATTTATTACATTGCATCGATCTACAAGTTAGTCGGATGACATTACTGGGGGTAAATACTCATGCTAATTCTAAACATATTGTACAAATTATCACAACAGTACATAATATTAGGGAATTTCACATGAGGGCAAGGAAAGTTAATGAACACATCGGCTTATTTCTGAAGATCAGAAATTCATCAAAAGAGTAAACGGAGTGTGTAATCAAGTGTGCTACTTCAAATTGTGCCTTTCTATTTAGATGAATTAGCCCAAAGAATTTATTACGGATTGAAAAGGAACAAAGTAATCTTATGTGAGAGCGTAAGTGAAGATGACATCAAACACCGATCTGAGTAATATGCGACACTTAACTGGGGTATCAGATTATCAACTTGATTGTCCAATTTAGGTGGTTATGAATTTGCAAAGCCATGGATTTTGTGTCTACTGCACTCTCCAAGAGGGTCGAACATGCCTCTTGTCAAGTTGGGCTGTTTCCTAATGCACAGTTTGGATTTGTGGCTATGTTCTCTAGATTGCAGAATAGCCAATAGTTTTATTATATGCATGCTTTGGTAGTTGCAACAATCA